GGTTTGGGGGAACCTGCTTCAGCTGAAGCAGGTTCCCCCAAACCTGCCGCAAGCCACAAAGCTGCTTCACCATTGTGAGATGAAGGCACCACAAGGGGTGGCACTGACGGATGGCTCGCTGCGCTTGGATCGCGCAGCATGCGCCTTTGTCATGCAAGCATATCAGTGAGCAAAGCCAAGCCACCCAAAGCCTCACGCCAGGGCAGTGTTACACAATGTCAACAAACGCCTGAAAGTCTTTGGACAGGCGACACAAGCAGCTGCTGGCAGGTGCGCACAAGCGGCTCTAATCAAGACAGCATGGATTTGGCTCTTGTGGCATCACTACACATCACTGGCAGAAACTCTCGGCACCCAGAATGGCGCCCCTCACAGTGACCCTGTGCAGGCACACCCACGAGGTCCCCTCCCCCTGAGCGGATGCCACCTCCAGCCGCACACCGTCTGCCATAACAGCCCCACCGTCGGCTGCAACGGGCAGCTCAACCTTGGCCCTACCCGCTGTGACAGACGCAGCTCCCGCCCTCTGCTGAGTGTTGAGAGTGGCTGCATCGATCAAGACGAATGAGCCGCCCGAGGAAGGCGCCTCAGTGCCTGGGGGAAGACCGGCGGCATCAGGTTCTCCTGTGGCAACCCTTGGGTGACTTGCAGCGCCTCCGTCGCCGTCTGAGCTGTTGAATGGCTGCGCCCGCACTGCCCTTGGGGCAGTGGCGGGCAGCGCCCACCTGGGCGGCTCTTTTGGTGCGGTGCCTGTGCCACCGCGGCGGCCGCTGCTGCCACCGCTACCAGAAGTGGCGGGCGGCTGGGCTGCGAGGAGTAAGTGCAGCTCAACGGATGTGATGTTGGCTAGCCCAGGCAGGCGGATGGACACAAACGCCGGCGGATCCAACGGGTCGGCGCCCAGCACGAGGGGCAGGCACCTGCCCGGCAGCTGCCGCGGCGAGAGCAGCAGCGCGTCAGCGGCCGGGTGTCCGGCACGCGCGCGCCACCCGCCGCCCACCTCCGCGGCCGCCTGCCGGCGAAGCCGCAGGCGCTCGTGCCAGGGCAGGTGCTGCACGTAAAGCGGGGAGTGCGCTGCTACGGTGGCGCCGCACGCGGCCAGCGCCAAGTCTGGCATTGGCAGCCGCTGCCTGACGATCTGCTCGAGTTGCGCCTCTAGAGCCTGGCTGCTGGCCGGCCGCGCAGGCATCGGCCACACCCACTCCCCTCCACCCAGTGGTGCGTCGGAAGCCTCCTCATGTGCTGTCCCTGAGCTGCCGGCCGCAACCGCCCCTCCAGCGTATGCGCCTTCGGCACTCCCACGCGCCGCGCCCGCCGAAACGGCCCGCCGCGCGGCTGCCTGCAGCGCGGTGAGCTGCGCAGCAAGCCTCTCCTGCCCTTGACTCAGCGACCCGACCTCTGCCGCGCACTGCTCAGCACGCGCCTGGGCAAGCTGCAGGCTGGCAGCGACGTCTCTGGAGATGGATGCCTGCAGATCACTCAGCTGTCCCCTCAGCGCCGACAGCTCTTGGGCCTGCCGTTGCATGTGCCCCTCATAGCTGGCGAGGGCGCGCGCCTGCCGCCCCATCGCCGCGCGCTGCGTGAGCAGCACACCACAGAGCGCGAGCAGCAGCAGAAGGAGCAGCAGGCGCCCGGGGCCGGCGCGGCGCGCGGCGTGGGCTGCGCCAGCGGCGGTTCGGCCGAGGGCGCGGCGCAGCGGCGACGTGATCGGGGCAGCGGAAGGGGGCGCCTGCTCCTGCGCTTCCTCCTGATCATCGGCACTGAGATCAGGGCTGCGGCTGCGGCTGCGCCCGCAGCCGCAGTCGCCGTCTGCAGCGCCGCTGCTGGGCGTGGCGGCAGCCGCTCGACCACCGGAGGGCGGCGGCGCGTCTGCGCCAGCCTCGTCAAACGCCAGACGTGCACCCCAGCTGCGAGCCGGCGTGGCCGCCACAGCCTGGGCTTCAGAGGGCAGGACGTCTTGATCGGCATGCGCAGCAGCCGCTGCTGTGTCGCTTGTCCCTAGGATGCCGTCATCGCCGGCGGTGCCGCGCACTCCGTTCGTCTCTTTCAAGCTGCTCAGCGTTCTACCCCGGTCGTCACCCTCATCAACAAGACGCAGAACGGTCTTCGCGGAGGATCGTATGGCCTTGACGAGAGGCGAGACTGCGTCGGCTGCTCGAGCGGCCAACGAGGCCGGCGGGGCGCCCAGATCCGGATCTTCAACGAGCTGAGGAGTGTCGTCAGTGGCAGGTAGATCCACCTCTCGAGCAGCAGCGGCCGGCTTGGCTTTGCCGCCACGCTTTCGGCGTGTCGACATGATCTGTGTGATCTGCTGGACTAACTGAAGTATAATAGAAGAGTGGCACAAAGGATATACAGAGCTGAATTTGAATTACATGAGCTCATGCACAGGAACAAGACATGAATTGTTCAAATTGAGAACACAAAACATGCAACAGGAAGCACTAGACAAAGTGACGCGTCGATTGCCACGGGGCTGTCGGCCTGTGCGATAGGTACTCTACACTGCGAGCAACATACAGGTGCAAGCACACGCTAAATGTCATTGATGCCTTGGGAGCTGCTCAAACGCCCGCTGCACGCCGAGCGGCGGCGAATGCTCTCTCTTGGACCACGCGCCATGTCACGCTGACAACCACCGCTCGTCGTTGCAGAGCGGGCAGCCCTTTGGCGCGCTGTGCTCGATCGACTTCAGCAGCCACCTGTCTATGCACTCCAAGTGCATCCTGTGGCGGCACGGCAGCACGCGCACGACATCGCCGGGCGCGTACTCCTCAGCACAGATTACGCAGCTCTCGCCGTCGCTGCCGTGGCCGGCCGCCTCCAGCACCTTGGCCACCAGATCGCCCTTCTCCATGCAGCCTTTCGGCAGCTCGACGTTCATGTTAATCAGCCGCTGCTTCAAATCATGGACGCTCTCCCGCTCAAGGTCGTCTTTGGTGGCCACCACCTCAGTCGGCAGCCGCTGCAGCGCAGCGACGACGCGGTCAAAGTCGGGGCGCCGCTGCTGCGCTGTGCGGCGCGCCGCGGCTGTGGCCGCGGCGGCCTGCTGCTGCTGGTGGCGCTGCTGGAGCATTGCGCGCAGGCCGCCGCGCTGGCGCACCTGCAAAGAGTTCGTTTCAAAACATGCGTCATGTCAAAGGGTGTTCTTGTGTGCGCGCGCGTGAGAGACAGAGAGAGAGAGGGCCCACGCACACACACAGTGAATGTATATGGGTGGTATCACCGCTTGAGAGCGCCCAAAACCTGCGTGATTGACCTGCGTTAGGAGCGGGACCTCCAACCGACTCCAGGCGCAGCCGGGTGCACCAAAGGTGCACTCCGTCCTTGCCAACTCCCCACCCTTCAACGTAATTTTAGGCTGCACCAGAGGTACGCATGCAAACCCTGAAGCCTTCAGGGTCCATGAATGCGCACGCCTGCTGCACATGTGCCCACACAAGGGGGCATGCACTTGGGTCCACGGCCTGCCGGCAGCCAAAGAGCGCTTCCACCCACCATTTGCACGCCCTTGTAGACGAGCGCAGCCAGCACCAGCAGGAGCACAAGGTCAATCGCGTCAAACGTCAGACCTCCATCCTCGTACTCATCCGCCTCCCACTCATGCCGCCGCCGTCGGTCTGCGATCCACTGAGGTGACATCAGCGAGCGTGCGAGGGGCGGGGAGTGAGGCGGAGAAAACAGAGTGCTGCGACACGAACCACTTCATACACGGCCGCTTTCAACGATACAGTCGCCTGCAGGCTGCATAATGCGTCTGTGCCGAGGTATCTGAAGGGCTGGGCTGGTCGCGCGTCTGCATCAGGTGTACGCTGCTTCCCACCCCGCACCTCCTGCACCAGGCTTGACACCAGGCTAACCCCGATGCCGAACAGGGGCCCCAGCCACCAGTAGCGGCCGCCACCAAAATTCACAAACACCAGCATCGTCAGCGTGGTGCTTGGAAGAGACGCTGGACGCGACACACGCTGCGCTGTCCTGCGCTCGCTGGAACGCTCCGGGCAGCGCCGACGAGCGGGGCACGTGCGATGTGTCGTGTGCAAGGCTTAACACAAAAATTGCCGCCTTTTCAATGCGTTTGGCAGCTCCCTCATGCACCGACGGGACGCGGGGGTTGCAAGCTTGCAGCGTGTCTGCAAGGGGCACCGCACTTTCGCTTTGGCCTTGGTGAGTAATCGTACAACAATCTCAGACTTTTTGTATATCAATCGGATTATGCATTGTGCATATAGGGGCCCTTCGATCTGAAAGTGCGGTCGAACTGTAACCCGCAAAAATGATCGCAGCTGGCCCGCGGAACGCCGTTACGGTGTCAAATTGGCGCACGCACTGTAATCCACGATCCCGCACTTGCTGGACAATGGCTGCAGCTGTAGGCTTTCAGGTGTGAAGCGCTATGGGCGCCGCAGCAGTGTATGCCTGCCGCACTCGGCCCAGATGCACAATGAGCAACACAGATGCCATGGGAAACGGTGCTGATAATCAGTACAACCTCTACCATGCGCTTTCGCCTGCGCAGGGCTGCACGACGCCCCTGCCGCAGCCGATCAAGGTCGTCGGGTGCGGGAGTAGCGGCGTCGATTACCTAGCTTCAGTCGCGGCCTACCCCAAACCAGACCAGAAGTTGCGCACAGAGACGCTGGAGGTGGGCACACGCACCGCCGCCAAGGTGCTTTTGCAGCAGCCAGGCAGCGTATTGCACGCCTTGGTGCACCGCAGCCTCGCGCCTCAGTCACCGGGCTGAGGGTTTCTAGGTATGAGCTGCCCTGGATGCAGCAGCCATTTGGCGCAAGGCAGTCCATCCCAGCGGTACTTCTCAACGCCGCTAACTCCACTCCGCAGACCCAGGGCGGCGGCAACTGCGCCAACGCGCTGACAGCTACGGCCCGCCTGGGACTCTCCCCCACGATCATAACAAAGGTGTGTGCAAAGCCCGCCCGCGTCAGAAGTGCCCGCGTCGAAAGCCGCGGCTGCTGCCGCCCCTGCCAAGCCAAGTGGTCGCGCCGCCTGAGCTGCCTTAGTGCGCTGTTGTTGTACTGACTGGCCCGTTGACCGCGAACGTCCTTCTCGTTCCGTCCGCCAGCCGCTCATCTGCACCCTACGTGCAGAGCCCACGGGTATTCCCCAGCTACAAGCGCCAAGGCTCGCCTCCTCCCCCACGCCCCTTGCACCTTCATGTGCACGCATGCAGATCGGGGGCGACGGCCTGGGTGATGGCATCATTTCAGAGCTGGAGGCTGATGGGGTCGACACCTCCCTGGTGCTGCGCGCCAAGGGCAGCCCCTCCCCTTTCACGTACATTATAGTGGACCGCTCCGGTGCGCTCGCAGTGGCTTACGTGTACATGCATGCAAGGCTGTTGGCGAGCGCGAATCAAGCCAGCGGCGGGGCGTTCATCAGTTCATCAGCCTCGGCAGCCCCCCCTCCCCCTACCTCACAGCAGCGCCCCTCCATTCCCAGAGCAGCCTTCCTTTTCAGCAAAGGCAAATCTCCCAACTTTGAGGCAGCCATCAGCATATTTGCCAAGCAACCATCCCCAACCTACACTGCAGCCTTCTCTGCATTTAGGTCTAAGTGAAACAACCACACGCACACCGCCCTGATCCGCCGTGCATGCACCGCAGGCGGCACCCGGACGTGCATCCACACGCCCGGCGAGCCCATGACGCCCTCGGACATGAGCGACGCCCTCATCGCGGCGGCCCTCAGTGGCGCCGCCCTCGTGTACTTCGACGGCCGCCTGACGGAGGCCGCGCTGCTGCTGGCGCGCGCGGCGCGGGCGAGGGGCGTGCCCGTGCTGGTTGAGGGGGAGCGGCTGCGGCCGGGGCTGGAGGCGCTGCTGGCTGAGGCGGACTACGTCGTGACTTCCGCGCACTTCCCCCAGGTGCGAGGCGCGCTCTCGGGTGCGCGGGCATGTACTTGCCGCTGTATGAGCAGGGGTAGGAAGGATGTGTGAATGCACACGTGGTTATGTGGAGGCGATGAATGAGGACGTGCGCCGGGCCGTGGGTGTTGCGCAGGTTGCTGCAAGCAATATGCGGCACAGGGGAAGGGGAAGGCTCGGTCCTACACCGGCGCTGGGGCTGACGAGGATCTGTTCGGTGATTCGGCACGCACAGAGAGCGTGCATGAAGCGTGCACCCAACCCTTGCGTCGCAATCCTCGCACCCAAACCTTACAACTCCCCTCCTACTGGGCCCAGGAGTGGACCGGGGAGGCCACAATCGGCGATGCCATGGTGGCGCTAGCGCAGCGCCTGCCCCGCGCGCGCGTCATCATCACGACCCGCGGGACCAAGGGCAGCGTGCTGCTGCGGCGTGCGGGCAGTGGCGAGCAGGTGAGGAACCCTGGGCATGACGCACTACGCGCCGTGGCGTGCTCACCCCGAGCGATGCCCTGGGGGCGCACCTGCGTTGCGCTGCGCAAACAGCATATGTGTCTGCTGCATGTGCCTCAAGTACCCTTGGGCAGCCCCCCTCTACACGGTGAGTTTTTCAAGCCTGCGCCCTTCGGGCCCAACCTTTCTGTCCTGCGAAGCCTCTCCCACGTCACTCTGCACCTGCCTGCCCGCCTCACCTTTCGCCTGCAGCCCTCTGGTCCTCCACGCCCATTGGATGACATCATTGCTGACCTGGAGGCCGAGTCCCTGAGCACCCACAGAGGACAGGGCAACGGCAGCGCAGACTGTATCTCTTTAAATGGCATAGCCTTGTCGGGTGGCGACGTGGCGTCCACGAAGGGTGTCGAGGCGCTGATGTTTTGGGGAGGTAGGGATGAGGGGTCGGCGAAGCAGCGGGCAGCAGCAGCTGCGGAGGCAGAGGCGGCACGCAACGCGGGCGGCGGCGCTGCAGCAGGCTATCAGGTGCGTGTGCGCATCAGGGGCTGAGTGCGGTTTTGTGTCCGTGTAGTGTGTTACGTGTGTTGGGACAGGATTGGCATGACCTGGTGACTGAACATGTGAACTCACATACAAACAAATCGTGCTGCCTGCCGAGCCTCCTACCCAACCCAATGCTCCTCACACTCCGCACCCATGCCCACCTGCAGGCCACAGCGGTGGGCGCACCAGGTGCAGATGCCGTGTTGGCACAGGTGTTTGTGTCCCCCGCTGCCGGCCTGCCCAGCGACTTGGTGGTGGACACCACCGGCGCTGGCGACTCGTTCATAGGGTCTGTCATCTACGGGCTGGTGACGGGCATGGCTGTGGACCGGCTGATGCGGCTGGGGGCAGTGGTTGCTGCCTGCAAGTGTACCGCCCTTGGGGCGCGCCAGGGGCTGCCGCGGCGGCAGCAACTGACGGCGGAGCTTTTGGGGGCGCAGCGCTGATAGTTACGAGGCGCTTGGAGGAGAAGTCAGGGACGGGTGCATCCTCCAAGCCTTATCACAAAGAACCACCTATGGGGTGGTGTGGCCGGGTCTGTTATGTCATTTCTATGTTGTCTCATTAATTTCGTATGGCAACAAACAATTTTGAGCGTCTATAACGCTCTTTCCGAATGCGATTTTATCTTGGAGGGGTGAGTCGGTACAGGAGACGGTGGCAGGAAAGGTTGGTGAGGACTCTTTTTTGTGATTTGGGTTACTCTCCCGGACACCCGGTAAGGGCATAATGGCCTGGAGACAACTATTTGCAGTGTCCTTCCTGGCCAAATGACTGAATGGCAGGCACATGTACATACGGCGTAACCGCCAGGCACCACAGGCAACACAGCAAGCTGGATGGCGGGGGTAGGAGTAACAAGAGGGGCGGGGGCAGGAGTAACAAGAAGAGCGTGCATGGCCGATGGGTACATCATCTACGAATCCGAAGGGGCCTTCTCCAAATGCAGGGGCCGAGAAAGGCAATAATGGGCCAAAGAGAGTCTCAAGTATTGTGAGCTCACACGACCCCGGAAACGCATCTCACTGCGCAGGCGTGGCATCGTCAGCCGCGCAGGAGCGCGCTCCCCTGCACCGCAGACTGCCTGTCTGGCCACCATGCACCACTGAGCAGCCCCCGCTGTCTCGCTTTGAAGTTGCATCGCCGCAGCAGTGCTGGCCCTACCGCCCTGGTGAGGTGCGGCTGCAGTCGAACGCACCAGCGGCATGCACAGTGCCTGCGGCAGAGGTGTCGCCTGGGCGCGCTCTACGCCGCAGCTGGTGCCGTCGCAATTGCATCTATCACCAGGGGTGTATGGTGATGAGCATGGCCTTGGTGCCCGGCATCATGGTGACCGCAAACCCGCCGCTTTTGTTAGGATTCCAGTACTTCTTCACTTTCAGTCCCGTCCGCAGTGGTGGTGGCTGTGCCCCACGATTCAAATGTCAGGCGTGATAGGTGAAGCTGCCAGCAGTTTGGGGGCGGGGGACGGGGACGTCGCGCGGCACGGTGTGTGGGTGCGTGAGGGACAAGACTGGGCCGAGCCTTCGTTGTTGGGCCAGGGGTAGGGGTAGCGGTGGTTTGCTGGTCCTGGGCGCGTTATGCTGTGCTTTATTCATCAATTGCGCCCCCGCTCAAGAAATCCACAAAGTGCGGTGCATCCTTGAAGTCAGCTATGCACCATTCGCACCCCATGCGGGTGCCACCCCTGCTATCTAGGACCCCAGCCGTTGCTGGCCCCTCAGCCTAGACCCCCTCGCCTGATAGATGGTGCGAGTTGTTCCCCCACCTGCCACCTCTCATACAGGCCGTAGCCGGCATACAGGTACTCCACAGCCGCCTCATTCCTGAAGCGCCTGGCCTGGTTTAACATTGGAATGGAACGGCACCCTGGTGGTCTGGTGCGGTGGACCTAGACCTGAGCGGGCATAACGGTGGGCATTGACGGATGGCCCAGGACACGGCCACACGCGACAAACCAGCAGACCAGCTCCCTACGCATCTCGCCTCAGCAAATGTATCCTGCTGGCCTCCTTTGACGAGGCAAGCATGTGTGAGGCATCTTCCACTTTGCAATCATCCCTGCCTAAACATGCACGCCACTAGCACACTTGCGCGCCTGCAACCCTCACATCCCAATATATACTGTGTGCACACGTGCGCACCCACGCACACACACACACACACACACGCACGCACGCACGCACGCAGGTGAGCATGCACACAATGTTGCAGACTCACCTGCTCTACAATCAGCCGCACGTCCACCCCGCAGTCCTTGGCGTTGACCTTGTTGACCACGAGGACCCTCAGATCACCCGCCTTGCGTGCTGCCCTTGAGCACCCACGCCTTGCATGCGTTGACCACCTGGCGCCCCACCACTGACGCGCCCCCCGGCCAGGGCCTGCTGCAGCAGGAGGTACCCAAAAAACGGCATGCGCACGCGTACGCGCCCGCCGATCACGTCCACGGCATTATAGTTGGCGTTGTTGGTCTTTGCGAGGCTCTGCGGCATGATATATTTGAGGCGACGGCGACTGATTGCAAGCGCAAGGACAATAAGGGCCACCCTGAGTTCTTGATGAGTGCTGCAAAATTGCCCCTAACATCCAAGCTCAAATGCACTTCGGGCGCGTTTTGCATATTTGGGTGTCAGGAAGCGGCAGCAGCGGGCTATGGCGATCATGCAGTGAATCTTGGCTTTGGTGCACAGCCCTGCCTGGTTGCTGCTCACCCGGTGAAAATTGATGCCGTGCGCGCCATGAGGCACACCTCAAGGGCACTGTCCAGCACCCACACGGCGCTGCCCGCCACATCAGACACGCCCTGCGGGCAAGGAGCGCCCCTGCGGCTGCTTGTACAGCCGTCGCTTGTCAGGAGCCGCAGGGGCTGGGTTTGGTACTCCGCAGCAATGCCACAGCTACCACCCCACCCCTAGGACGGAAACCTCTGTTGTCATTTCGTGCCTTTGAAGACCTTCCCGGTCTTGCACGCACCTGTACACCGCCGTAGCTGAGCAGGGCTGCCTCAGATACCCTGACTGGCAGATTGTACATTTGAGCCAGCTTGACCAGCTCAAGCAAGTTGGGCATGTCCTTTGTCCAGAGTTTTGGGGTCGTGAGGGGATTGTTCATGAGTCATGGCGAAACAGGGTGTAAAATTGTGAAAATGGGGGTCTGGCAATTTGGCAAGCCATCAATTGGCAGGCGTGCAGCTGCGGGCATCGCCCATTTTGTTGGTCCAGTTCATGTTGCTGGCTTTGTCACACACAAGGGCACGCCGTGATGGTGAGCACGATATACCCACCATGACTTTGTCAGACAACAGGTCCTCAATGTTGGGGTTGCTGAAGATGTCCCCTGCATAGACATGCAGCGTCACCATGTTGAGCGTCGCAGCGACGCTGTCCAGCCACCACTTGCGCACCGCCGGGTGCATGTTGAGGCTGCTCCAGCCGGGGCCAGCGAGGACGGGCTTGCCGCCAGCCGCGGTGTTGAAGACCTTACGGGACACAGGGACCCATTTGTTGCTGCGCCGCGTGTTGGGTGCCGAGTCGTTTGAGTGAGCCTGAACAGGAGATTCAACAGTGGAGGGGGCCAATGCACTGGAAGCACACTGACGAGAAGGCAGCATGCAGGCACAAGTGCACTGGGCACGCAGATGGTGGGCTGTGAGCGGGGCAATGGGGCCCCGGGGCGCGCGTGATGAGCCTCACTTGAGCCATTTCTCAGGTTTGGAGTTGATTGCACCCGGCTTGCCGCCTGTTGGCTTCAAGGAGTATCTGCACGCAGTTTATGACAGCCAGAGCACACTCATGCTCACAAGGCCAGAGACTAAGCGCGAAATCCATGATTTGCCTGGCAGGTCTTCAAGCGCCACAGCGTGCAACAAGGCGTGCGGTTGATAGGCCCAGAACCGCTGCAGCATCAAGTTGCAGTGTGTGATTATTCTCTGCCCAACTCCTCACATGTCAGGCTCGTTTCCGACCTCGAAGCTCTCAATGGCGCTGGCCGGCAGCGCTTCCTGCAAGCGCTTGACCTGGGCCTTGCTGATTGCAGCCTGTTCAGAGTGCAGATTGATGCCCAGGATGTACCTGGCCCCTGGATGACAGGCGATATGGTTGCATGTGATATATAAGTATGTGTGACCGACGTTGGTGATCATATTGGACCAAAAAGGTGCAGTTCCAGCAGTACAATCTTGACAGATGCAGCCTTCCCTCTAGGTGGAAGGGACGCCAGCATTTGCCGAAGGATCCATTTCAAACAACCTTCAGTGCATTTCTTGTGAATCTACATCGCTGCCGGAAAACCCATCAATCTGGCCTGGTTGTCTGCCCTGAACCCACAGACCAGCACAGTCCACCTGTGGCCTTGTGGATGGTGTCGAGCGCTTGCAGCACAGGGTTGCTCCAGACACCCTTCATCCGACCCGCCGCCACGGCGCCAACGCGGATGATGAGCGGCCCAGTTTTGTAGCGCGTCAGCTGCTCGAGGAGTCCAAGATAATCGCCACTGGCCACACCGAGCATGTCGTCCAACTCAAAGGATAGGCCCAAAAATGATCTGCAGTATGTACCCACCCAAACGCAAGTGCAGGTGTTGCAGTGGACACAAGGGCGTGCACGAGAGAGAGGTTGCTTTTCAGTTGTTGCAAAAACTGCACCTCAAAAGCGCAGTCCAGTCGTTGAGAGTTGGAGTGCGCCGCTGCACCCCATCCGGTGCTGCCAGGCGTCTCCTCATTTGCTGAGCAGTCGTGAGCCAAGATGCATTGCTGGCGTGATTGCAAGCAACAGCGCAGTTGCCGCGGCAGCGGCTGTCAACTCAGCGCACGCCCTGCTGCGCTTGCACCACGTCACCACAAGGAGCACAAGCCGATCTGCTGTGCAGCGCGAGCAGCCAACCTGAAACAGGTAGCCATGGGCCGCTCCGTTACCGTGGACGCGGACGAGCGCCCCCTGCTTCTCATACTCCCTGAGGCTTGGATGGTATGGATCAGACCATCCTGCCAAGAAAGGACGTCAGTTGTGCCTTAGGCGCTCATTAGCAGCAGCCATGCAGGCGGCTGATGGTGAGGCACCGCAGCGGCGATGCCATGCATGCATACCTAGTGGACTGTGGCGGTTGTGGTCAAGGCTGGAAGTCAGCCTGATTCTGCTTGATTGTGGTAGAGCCTGCGCTCCTCCTTACCGCGTGCCTTGTGCTCCGTATGCACGCCTTTCATCACGTTTGAGCTGGCGCGCGCAAGGGGCGGTGCTGCCAACAGCATCACCAGCGCGGCCACAGTGAGGACTGCAGGCCACAAACCGCGTGTATAATTCCAGCTTCTATATCGAACCATGTTCACACGCACGATCTGGACAAGGGCCGCCTCACAATTCGCTGACGGCAGGTACCTGTGCCGCGACAAGACTGTACCGTTTTGCCCGCTGTGATTACTTGTGCCTAGGGCGCGACGGGTAGAAGATGACCTGATGACGTAGGCCTAGATCTGCGCTGTCGTCTACTGCGCAGTCACCGGTTTGGGCTGTCACCAGATCGCTGGGACCCTGGACTGCTCCGGTGTGCCCGAGGACCGCTCAACACGGATGATATACAGCCAGCGCAGCACTCGCATGGTGCTGCTGGAACAACGACGTGCACAGGGTACGCAGGTGACGGCGCATTGACACACCCTCGCAAGCCGTATCCAAGTCCCGGCGATGACCATGTCCTCAAGCGCTGCTACCCAGGTGAGGGAGCGGCTGAGCAGCGAGCAATTAGTAAATGCCAAGTGATAAATTCAGTCTGTCATGCACCGGAGGACGTTGACTGGGTGAAAAGGCTTTCTGATATCAAATCATGCCGTCAACAATCGCAGGGTTCATACGCGGTCGCAAGTGCACTGACAAGTAACGGAATCAACAGGTGGGGAATGCAATGAGCTTGTGGGTTGCAACAGTCCAGGCCTTACAAACACAGTCTTCGCGCGTGGCGGTCGCTGCTGCCTGGGCCCGCGCCGCAACCAGCTGTACCCAGAGGCCTTGAGCAAAGTAGGACTAGCTGTAACAAAAGTGTGTCATTGGAATGGCCCTACCGTCACAACAAGCTAGGCACGCAGACTGTGCGTGCAGACCGTTGCGGTTACAAGAATCAGCGGTGCCGGCATGTTGGTATCATACATGGCTGCCCACCTTACCTAAAGCACGCTGCTTTTGTATATCAGAACAATCTCAAGTACACCAACATCTCACAGCGTGGGAGCTTCAACTGTGCCCACAGGCGCCCATACTTGCCTCAGACCTGGCCCAGACGAGCAGTATCATTCAGTCGTCAGCTGCCAGGCGGCAGCATGGCACCCAAAAGGCCAGGCCATGCGCTCGCCGAGCGAGGTCTTGTGTCCAAAATCATGTAGTCGACATGAAATCTATGTTTGATTGTTTATGTGTATATGCTATGTACATGGTACACAGCGCGCCGATGCCCTGGGTGAGCGAGAGGGCTGATAGGCGCTGAGAGGCTATTGGAAGGTGAACATATATCTCAGAGACAACATGAGGTGCGTTGCAAAGGTCGGCCGAGCCCGCATGGTCCCACCGTGCTTCCTAGTGATCCTGCTGATCATTGTTTTGCGCACTGCAGCGGGCATGACTACGACAGTGTGTTTCAAAGGCTACTACAAGCTCACTCGGAGGCGGTGAGGGCGCAGAGGGACAGTTGCATGTGTGCAGCGGTTGCGAGAGCAGTGCTGTCGCTGCTCGCAGCCAGCAGCAGCCCCTGCGGACGCCGTGTTGCGTGATAGACCCCCTGTCTCTGCCGCATGGCTTTGCTGTCATGCTCCCTCCACGAGAGCTGAGCCCTACATCGTGTCGCCATCAGCGACGCAGCCTGTCACCACTGACTGTTTGCAGGAGGCGAGCCGTGCGGCCAATGGCCACCAGGCCACGGCCGGCCGCGCCGCGGGGCCTGCCCCGCTGGTGTTTGGGGACCAATCAACGGACAGCGGGCTTGGACAGCAGCTGGGGCAGGCGCAGGCGTCCCTGGGATGGCCGGCGCTCAACCTGGGAGCGGCAGCCCCACAGCTGCAGCTGTACACCCCCCTTGCGGCCAGTGGCGGCGGCCTGCCCGGCTACCAGCCAGGCTACCAGCCAGGCTACCAGCCAGGCGTAGGACTCTTTACCCAGGGCCAGCAGCAGCAGCAGCTGCAGCAGCAGCAGCAGCAGCAGCAGCAGCAGCAGCAGCAGCAGCAGCAGGAGCAGCAGCAGGAGCAGGAGCAGCACCAGCAGCAGCACCAGCAGCAGACTGGACATGCACAGGCTGTGGTTGCAGACCTCCGGCGGCAGCTGCCCCCATCCGTACTTGCAGGTGCGCGACAAACGGCGCCACAGGCCACCGCTCTGCAACACTCGCATGCGCCATACAACTGTCCAACACTCTTGCGGTGGCGGCCCCTCTGCCTCAAGTGCGTTCTCTGTTGACGCTGCACCCCTGCCGCCGCAGGTGCAAAGCGCCCAGCGCCGCTGGTCGACGCCGCCCAGCCAGCACCAAAGCGGCCATTGCAACACGCACGCAGCGCGTCCCCCGTTGCGGTCATAGCGGCCGCCCAGGAGATGCTGCAGCGCACCGCACCGCAGCAGCAGCAGCAGCAGCAGCAGCAGCAGCAGCAGCAGCAGCAGCAGCAGCAGCAGCCGGCTCCGGCGCGGCGGCTGCCGCCGTCCATGACGGTCGTGCCCGCTCTCCCTCTGAGGCAGCAGCAGCAGCAGCAGCAGCAGCAGCAGCAGCAGCAGCAGCAGCAGCAGCAGCAGCAGGAGCAGCAGGAGCAGCAGGAGCAGCAAAGGCCGGATGTCATCGACCTGTCTGGTAGCGCCGGTGCCGAGCCGCAACCTGCATCGCGCAGCGGGGCGTCTGTCAACGGCCTTGGTCGCGACGCCCACGCCAGCGGAGCGGCCTGGGGCCACCCACATGGGCTTCCCGCGGGCGCAGCCAACGGCGGCGGCCGCACGGTCAGCACCTACGCCCAGCTCAAGGGGGCCATGGAGCAGGTGCAGCGCCAGCTCAGGGTCGCTGACCCGCGCTCGGCGCCCGCCTCGGGCGCGGGCGCGGGCGCGAGCGCGAGAGCGCCGGCAGCCGGTGGGGCGTCTGCGGACGTCGCGGCCCTCTTCCCCGAGGCGTCGCGCCACCTGGCTGCGCTGGAGGAGGAGCGGCGGTGGCGGGAGAGCCTGCCGCTGGTGCCGCAGCAGGGCCAGGGCTCGCAGCAGCTGGGGAATATGTTCAGCAACGGCGGCGCCTCGCTGTCCCAGAGCTTGTCGCAGCTGCGGCAGCAGCTGCAGCTGGGCGGGCCGCCGCTGGACGCGCCGCGGCACACGGTCACCACGCGCCTGCTGCCGCAGTCTATGGCACGCGCGCCGTCGAGCGGCGCGTCCCTCCTGCCGCGTGTCAGCAGCGGCAGCCTGCCCCTCAGCCTCAGCCTCGGCCCCGGCCTCGGCCCCGCGCCGCAGTTTGGAGCTCTCTCTGGCCTCCCCGCCCCCGGCTCCGGCGGCAGCCTGTCGCCAGGGCGGCTGGCGCCGGTGTCCGAGCGCGGGTACCTGCGGCCGTCTGGCGTGGAGGTGCAGCGCGCCATACAGGCCGTGATGGAGGGGCTGAGCATGGCCGGCGACCAGGAGCGGGAGCCGCCAGAGGTAAGGCCTCCTCCCACTGCCTTGGGGGTGCGCAAGGGGGGCGTACAGGGGATCGTGTGGGGTCAACAGGGAGGGGCGGCGCCTCACTCGGCAGGCGCTAGGGCGGAGCAAGGGGTTGGGGGCGCTAGGAGGCAAGGGGCCGCAGGGTCGCAGGCGCCGGCTGGGCGTGTGCTGCGCCAGCGCCGGCATCGGCGGTCACCCCTCCTCCCCCCCCCCCACAACCCGCGCTGCAGATGGCGCTGGGCGTGCCGCTGCTGCGCCACCAGAAGCTGGCGCTCTCATGGATGTGTCGCCGCGAGCGCAGCCGCAAGGTGGGCACAACTTTCATTGTCTCTCGTCCCTGTTCACACACGCGCACACACATACACACACACCCAGTCTCTCTCTCTTTCTCTCTCTATGTATACCTCGCTTAGTCACACAAAACACATAGCGTATGCGCGTGTGTGCATGCACCTACGTTCGTCTGTGCGCGCGCACACAGGCGCACACACACATGCACACACACACACACACACACACACATGCGCGCACACTGGGCCATGCCCAGCTTTCTCCACGCCATCTGCCCGCGCCGCTGCCGCCATGCCTGACGACCGACTGACTCATCTGCTGCCCTGGTCCCGGCCCCGTTGCTTCCAGCGCGTGCCATCGTTGGGGCCCCGCCCCCGCCGCCTCGCGGCCCGTGCTCGCCCTATGCCCATCCTGAAAGGCCCGCGGCCTCCATTTCCTATCGTGCCAGGTCTCTGGGGGCATCCTCGCAGACGACCAAGGCTTGGGCAAGACGGTCACCACAATCTCGCTCATTCTCACCCACGCGCGCGGCACGGAGTACTTGGACGAATGTGGCAGCGGCGACGACGACGACGAGGCGGCGCGCCGGATGCAGCGGCGCGCGGGCGGGACGCTGGCGGGCGGCGGGGAGGGGGCCAGCGGCAGCAGCGGCTCGGTGGGTTGCAGTGCACTCGGCCACGACGAGGGTGACGCATATGTGTGTCGTTGCAGTTGGCTTGCGGCCCAGAGACGGTGCACAAGCCCGGGCCGCGACCCTCGCCACACACACACGCCTCTGCCGTGCCTCTCTGCACTTCTCCCTCCGTTGCCAGGTGATTGTCATTGAAGACGATGATGAGGATGACGGCGCTACAACCTTGAGGGGAACGGGAGCGGGCCGGGCCGCAGCGGGCGCGGGCGATGACGATGACATCATCGAGTTGGACGACAGCGACGGCGGCGCCCCCCTGTATGAGCAGCAGCAGCGGGGTCGTGACGGTGGAGGGCAGCAGCATCAGCAGCAGCAGCAGCAGCAGCAGCAGCAGCAGCAGCAGCAGCAGCAGGAGCGCGTGGCGCGGCGGCGGTCCCTGGTGGTTATATCCAGCGACAGCGACATTGAATGCGTAAGGGAGACGCGCGTGGCCGCGGCGCGCCCCGGGGCAGCGGCTGCACAAGGGGAGATAAAGCATGAGGAGGCTGAGGTGAAGGCGGAGGTTGATCATAAGCCTGATTTTGCACAGTCGCTGGCCCCATCTCACCACCAGCAGCAGGGCGAGCAGCAGGAGGACCAGCAGGAGGAGCAGCAGCAGCAGCAGCAGCAGCAGCAGCAGCAGCAGCATCCGGCAGGGGCTCTGATCTGCAAACAGGAAACGCCATTGGACGTGGACGCACAGCAGCTGGCCCCTGCCCCCATCGACGCCTTGCCACTTAAATCTGGGGCAGCTGCGGCTGCGGCGATCCTGCTCTCCAACGGCGCCCCTCTGCCTTTCGTGAAGCAGCACGCCTCGTCGCAGCTGCCGCCCGCCACAGCACACGGTGCGAACACCTGGGCGGCGCCTGGCAGCGTGAGCTGCACCGAGGCGGTTCCCGCTCCCAACGGCGTGGCGTCGCTAGAGGAGCGCAAGCGGCCCCCCCGGCAGCGCAAGCAGCAGCGGCAGCAGGAGGGGGGCAAGGAGGAGCGGCAGCTGGTGGAGGGCGGCACGCTGGTGGTGTGCCCGACGTCGCTGCTGCACCAGTGGGCGCGCGAGCTGCGGGAGAAGGTGCACCCAGGGGCCGGCGTCACCGTCCACGTGTACCACGGGAAGGTGAGGTGAAGCTGCTGGCGAAGCTGGCGGACGCGACCCACCTGTGTCTGCAAGGGCATGCACACACCGCGGCAGCAGTGTGTGTGTGTGCTTGCGCTCGAGTGTGTGTGTGTGTGTGTGCATGTGTGTTTGTGAGTACTCGTGAGAGTGTCTGCGTGTGCGTGTGTTAGCTCCACGGCAAGCAGGACTTGCATTCCACGGACCCATGACCCTGCGTGCCACTAGCCCATGACCCGACGAACCCCCTCTCACGCACCGCCCCTCACACACCGCCCCTCACACACCGCCCCTTACACACCGCCCCTTACACACCGCCCCTCACACGCCGCCCTGCACACACCGCCCCTCTCACCCTCAACCCTCTTAGGACAAGGTGGAGCGCCCGTCCGCGCTGGGCCTCTTCACGGCGGTCCTCACCACGTACGGCACGCTCGCGTCGGAGGCGCCCCTCAAGCACCGCCAGGCCGCGAAGGGGCACAAGAAGGGCGGCGGCGGCAGCAGCGGCGGCGGCGCTGGTAGCACGGGCGGCGGCAGCTCGGGGGCGTGCTTGGAGGGTCCGGATGATGGGGAGGACCCGTGCGGCGCGGGCGGCGCCGCCAGCGGCGGTGGCCGCGGGGGGACGGGGCGGCGGAAGGGGCCGGCGCAGGACGGCGGCGCACTGTTTCAGGTGTGTGTGTGGGGGGGGGGAGAGGCTGTGATCGCCAGGGGCGCCCCTGCACAAGTAGAGGGGGGCGCACTCTTCAGGGTCCCGCCCCGGCTTCGGTGGTTTGCGGGGCGCCCACTTTTGGCAGTCGACAGCTGGGTCTGTGGCGGCGCGGCGCCAGCCCCCGCCCCCCATCGCGCGCCCCACCGCCCACGCTTCTCCGACGCCACGCCGCTGGCGCCCGACCCGCAGCCCCGTCGCCCCCGGCTGCGCCCGGCTAGACGGCAACGCGCCACCCCCACTCCCCACGCCCAACCACCTCCCTCCACAACCCCTCCGCCCCTGCGCCCCCTCTTTTCCCAACCTCCAGGTGGCGTGGCAGCGCGTGGTGCTGGACGAGGCCCAGAGCATCAAGAACGCGCGGACCCTGGCGGCCCACGCTGCCTGGGCGCTCAGGGCGCGCCACAGGTGGTGCCTCAGCGGGACGCCCATACAGAACAACATCAACGACCTGTTCTCGTACTTCAGGTGTGCGGTGGGGAGATGGGTGTGATGATGCGCTCTCTTGTGTATGTGTGTGTGCGTGCGTGTGTGTATGTGTGTGTGTGTGTGTGCGCGCGCGTGCGCGTGCGTGCGCGTGTTGTGTGCGCGTGTGTGCGTGTGCACGTGTGCGTGTTCACATTTCTAGGTGCTTGTCTCTGTCCGTGCATGTGTAATGTCACGTGTGTGTGTGTGTGAGTGTGTGTGTGTGTGTGTGTGTGGTGCTCCCGCTTGCACTCAGTGTGCACCTGCAGGACTCACAGGCGCCACACCGCCGGTATGATGTTAACAGCACGTGCAGCCTCCCGCCGCGCACGCAAGCATCGCTTCAGACTGCTTTTCCGCCTTGCAACTGCGCTTGCACGCAGGCCTCCGCAGCCCGCGAGCCCTGCAATCAAAGACGCTCTCTGGCCCTGCCCCAAGATACACACCCCTCCTCACCCGCATCACCCCCGCAATCCACCTCGCGCGCCCCCTCCCCCACTGAAACAACAGGTTCCTGCGCTACTCGCCCTTCGACCAGCCCCGCTACTTCAAGGCCCACATCAAGGACGCCGTCGCCCCCTCCCAGCCCGGCGAGCGCGCCGAAGCCGGCTACCGCCGCCTGCAGGCCACCCTGCGCGCGGTGCTGCTGCGGCGCACCAAGCAGACGCGCATCGCGGGCAAGCCGATCGTCGACCTGCCCGAGCGGCGCCAGGAGGTCGTGCGCGCAGACTTCAGCGCGGACGAGCGCGCGTTTTACGACGGGCTCGAGGCGGAAGCTAAGCGGCAGCTGGCTGCGATGGAGCGGGAGGCGGCTGAGGCGGGCGGCGGCGGCGGGCGCTACATGAACATGCTGCACCTGCTGCTGAAGCTGCGGCAGGCGTGCAACCACCCCTGGCTCGTCCGCGGCGCCGGCGGCCGCTACGGCGCGGCGAGCGCGGCGGAGCGCGCCGCGGCGGCGCGGCTCAGCCCGGACCAGCGCGCGGCGCTGCTCGCGGCGCTCGGCGCGCGTGATGCGCAGTGCCCCGCGTGCGGGGACGTGCCCGAGGAGCCGTCGGTGTCGCGGTGCGGGCACGTGTACTGCCGGCAGTGCGCAGCGGCGCAGCTGGAGGGCGCGGGGGCGAATGGTGACAGCGAGTTCCTGTGCGGCGCGTGCGGCGGCGTGGTGCGCGGCTGCGACGTGTTCTCGGGCGCCGCGCTCGAGGCCGTCGCGT